CATTCATTTCAGTGCTTCTCAAGCACACTCGTCAGAAAGTTGAGGAAATTACAGCAGTTTTTGGCATTTTAACGCATTAGTTTACCTCTCGGAAATCTGGCCAGTTGTTGTAGTTTATGAAACGCGTTATAGTTGATGTTTAGTTTTAGATAATAGGCAGTTATGCTATATTTGCAGTTAGATAACGTGAGAAACACCTTAATAGCGATCATAACCAGACGCTAGTTGTCATATTTTTAGTCTTTCTGCAATATTTTTCTCATTGTAGGAAGTTGAATGAGTTTCAGTGAAGACTGCCCATTAAAGCAATACAAGAAAGAGTTTCCCTGAATGCAGCTGGTTGCCTTGTGTTTTGTTTTTTAGTCAAATTCCGTATTTGCTGTCCTTTTTTAACATTCACTTATATTGTCTTCTAACATAAATGTCATAAAATAATACTGGGATGTGAGTAAGTCATCTTTTTAAATTCAACATAAAAAAAAAAAAAACAAAACTTATAAACATTGTAATTTGTAAACGCCTCTAATTTGCCTCTTTGCACTGGATTTTAAAACATTTTCTCTATTTTAACCCTAAATACTACGCTAATTGTAATATAAATAATAAGCATATTAGAAAAAATATTAATGCTGTCTCTTTATCACCCCCCAGAATTCCCAGAAGGGGACCTCATTAATATTCATGAGCTTGGCCTTTGCTGTAGTAGGATTGGCTAATTCGACGCCCGGATCTTAGGTCACAAGCAATCAAAATCAGCAAAAGAGCAATGATACGCAAGTGTTATAACAAGTCTCAGTTAGCTTAACGCAGTACACGCAGCAAGTTTTTTTTATTTTTATTATATAATAAATAAAAAGAAAACATATAGAATAGAAAAACATTAGAGAAGTTAGTTTTTTTACTTAGAAAACAGAAACAAGTATCTCGAGAGTCTCCGAAATGAACAATAACACACGATAGTTTATTAAAACTAATTGATTAGAAACCTAATTTTACATGTTAAAATTATTTATATTTAAATGTCAGCTTTCCGATGTAATCTCTGACTGTGCTGTAAAACTGAAGAAATGATCTGTTATGAATATTTATATATTTATTTACATGCCAAAGCTCACTTCCAGTTGATTTATTTGATCTTTTGCATAACATACACATGTTTAATGACTGGAAAAAAACACATTTGCATTAGGAAGACTGTTGCATAAAATTTGAAATTTGTATAATTCACCTCTTTTAGTTCACAAACTCTGTTCAATGTAGACAGAACACAGAAAAATGCACCAACAAACTGATCAATAGAGTTCAAATGCCGTCTTCTGTTCAGTATAACATGATTCTGTTCGTCGATTCGCGTGTCGATGTCGATGAAGTAATACTGTGGTCTGATTGGGCAGTTCTAGAGTCACATGACCTCTCCGCTCAACTGCGTTCAGCTGCAGGGGCGGGACTTATGATCCGCGTCACGGCTGAAACGTTTGGACGTGCCGTGATGCTCCGCCCCCTCCAGAAGCTCCTCCTCCTCCTGCAAAAAACAACAACAAAAAAACATGGCATTTCAATCATGTTATGGTCCAGAACATTGTATTACCGTGGTAAATAAAATAAAAAACATGGCAATACATTAATGATAAGGTCCAAAACATGGCGGGTTTCTCATGATATGATGATCAGAAACATGGTCTTACATTCATAGTAAGGTCCAAAACATGGTATTATCATGATAAATGACAAAAACTTGCATGGCATTTCAATCATGATATGGTTCAAAACATGATAAATTAAAATATATAAATAAACAAATAATTAAAAAAACATGGCACTTCTATCAGGATATGTGACCCATAACATGGTATTAACATAGTAAATGTCAAAAAAACATTGCATTACCTTCATGATAAGGTCCAAAATATGGTGTCATCATGGTAAGTGTCAAAAAATACATACAAAAACCAAAAGGCATCTCAATCATGTTATGGTCCAAAACATTGTATTACCGTGGTAAATTTAAAAAACAAAACATGGCAATACATTAATGATAAGGTCCAAAACATGGCAGTTTTATTATGATATGATCCGAAACGTGGCATTTCAATCATGATTTGGTCCAAAACACTGTATTACTAGGGTAAATATAAAAAACATGGTATTTTCATCATGATAAG